GGTAATCTAATTACCGTTTTTGCAATAGTAATCCCTTACTTTACTCGTTACTTGAAAAAAGTAATCGGATTACAGTAACGTGTTACTGCCCATCTCTGCATGCTACACAGTGATGAAAGCTCTGTTTTGGTGAATGACAGAAGTATAGACTAAAAATATTACAGTCAACTAAAACTAAACTGGAAATTAAAACATTTTTGTTTAACTAGAATAAAAAAAATAAAAAACTAGATTTGTGAAGAAAAATTACAAATTCAATACAAAATCAGTTGTGAACTTGGAAAACGAACAAAGAATAAACTTAAAAACACAGCAGAAATATTCTTGGTGTTAGTTTACAGGCTACCTGATGAGGCATTGACGGACGTGTTTGAAACTTTGCATGTCTACAAGACGGAGACAACAGTTTTTTAAAAAGTTCTGTATTTTATTATAATACCTGTACTGCTTCTGACACACATAAACTGAAGGTGGCCAGTTTTTCAAGTGGATATACAGGCAGCTTGCATATTAGCCTACAAGGTGCATCAGAAGTACTGACGTCTACTCTCTCCGCTGCAGAGAACGTGTGTGGTGAAAGCTGGCACCTGGTGGGCAACTCTTGTCTGAAATTCATCACGACCAAGGACTCGTACGATAACGCCAAACTGACCTGCAGGAACCACAACGCCGTCCTGGCCTCTCTGACCACGCAAAAGAAGGTGGACTTTGTCCTGAAGGAGCTGCAGATAATGAGCGTGGTGGTAAGGAGAAGGGGGCGATTGGAGGGGGAAGTAGCCAGGATATTAATTATCGGATTAGAGAAAATGTGATATTTTCCTCGGGGAAATTGGGTCATCAGACCAGCAGAGAGAAAGATACCGATAAGACTTGAGATGCGCTGAGAGTGCCCGAGATAAAAATGGATAATTACAGCAAAAAGATCAAATCGGGCAAAGACTGAAGAATGATACACTACTTAGACAACTAATGATGTCGTCTACAAAGAGCCTTCCTTGATATACTGTCTTGTTGAAGTAAGCGGATGTGGACACATTAGAAGACTAAATCAATAACAGTTACACACGGGTTCAAAAGACCAGCACATCGGAAGTCCACTGTAAAAAAGATTTATTATTTCTCATGTTTTTCTCTGATTGATGAGCATAAATGGACTCTTGTGCACTTTCTCTAGTTTTTGCCCTTGGCTGTCTTTTCAGTAGCTTTTTGAAATCTTCTCTTTCCCTTGTTAATCTGAATGAGCATTGGTTGGATTCTATATATGTGTGTGTGTGTGTGTGTGTGTGTGTGATTTTTGAACCATTAAGCGTGAAACAAATCTCCCATTAACAGATCTCTTCCTCAGAGCTCAGACATCTCTTACTCGCTCCATTAGAGCACATGCACAAAAATCTATCCCTGCGATCAATCAACCATCGCAAGCTGCCGTCTTTATTCTGTTCACGTATCCGCAGATATGGACGGACGCACTGTTGGGTATCGGGTTGTAAAGTCTGAATTCAGCTTTTAAGTTGGTTGGGGTTAAACTTCCTTAGGTTTGTAAAAATGTGTGCATCTTACCAAACATCTTACCAAGTTAAGCAGAAGATTTAACAGAAGTTTTATCTTCTCCAATAGTAGAATTATCTGATTTTTTTCCCCCTTATTTTGAAATGTTTGACATGAAATGATTTTATTACATTTTGCACATTAATCATTTCATTCATAAATAGACGAGAAGATGTGTAGATAATACAAAACGTATTTTGTAATATCAGGAAAGTCCCTACAAAAAAAAAAGAAAAGAAAAAAGTTATATAGCTCTTTGTAGTTTCTAATTTCATACCAAATGCAAATACTGCCTCCTTTAACTTAGGCCACCCATGCAAAAAAGCGATCCTGTAAAGTGCCTTGCAGCCACCACACGGCAAATCTAATGCTAAAGCTAAATAAGACAAAAGGGGTTTAAATCACAAAGTCAGGCTGGAATTAAAGAAGTGTCTTTCATCCATTCTAATGAAATCGTGTAGATTTCCCCTGCTGGTCTAAATTTGTTCTGGTGGTTGCTTTTCGGTAATCTTTGTGCTTAAGGGTAGAGAATAATGGAAGCTTAACCGCTCTGGAATAACATTGGTTTTCAATGATACGGGTGCAGAGATTTGAGAACAGGCTCCCTTGTTGTATTGATGGTATACATCCAGTTCAGTAGTTCCAACGGTTTCCAGGCAGATTTAATCAATCCGAGAAATGGCGATTGTATTCGATCTCAAAGGTACAGTTATCCCTCTCATGCCTGCGAGAGAGAGAAAAGTCTTTTTGTTTGCTACTATTGCAATATTAAAACCATTGATTAGAGATGAGTTGGATAACGGAGCTTCTCAAGTCAACTGAGGTAGAGCTGCCTTTATTGCCACTGCGTCTGGTGCAGTGTGTTGCATGTCAGTACTAATGAAAAGCTGCACTGACATTTTCTCTTTGTGTTGTAGTAAAAACATGTTTTTTTGAAATTGATTTAGGTAAACTGATTAAATCTTCAGCATAAGTGTAACTGACGCTTAAGTTTGAGATGTTTTCCAGAAAAATCTGGCAGCAATCTGTTACCAAATTCGATCAGAGCAAAGAGCCATCGTGTGAAATCCTCCTTTGGTTTGGTGTTTACAGTACAAGGCCACTGTGACGCCGTGGGTAGGGCTCAGGAAAATCAACGTGTCCTACTGGTGCTGGGAGGACATGTCGCCGTTCACCAACACCACCCTGCAATGGCTGCCGGGTGAGCCAAGCGACGCCGGGTTTTGCGGCTACCTGGCCGAGCCGGCAGCCACCGGACTGAAAGCTCAAACCTGCATAAGCCCGGTGAATGGCAGCCTGTGCGAACGACCAGGTGAGCTCGCTATGTTTATATTTTAAAGTCTGTTAATGCACATGTATTTTTACATAACAGAAAAAAGAAGTTGCATGCACTAGTAATGTCATGTCTAAGAACTAGCTGAAGAGAAAGTGTTTTTTCCTGTAACCTTTCTATCCGTGCTAGTTGAGGCTGCACAAGTAGATTGTCAAGCCTGATGCTAATTTTTGTTGCAGATGCCTCATGTCTGCCTGATGAGGCTGTCATTAGGCTGATACTGGGTACACAAAAGGCAGATGGAGGCCTAAATGGATTTGTGCATAGCTATGAGGCTCATTATACCTCTTGCTGTAACAATGACACCTTTTAAAATTCACTTGTGTTCATTTCTGACTCATTAAAATGAGCTTAAGAGACTTATAGCTGCTGCTTTATAATGCCCTGGAGTTCAGCAGAGGCTGATGTCCCAAAGAGGCATCTGTGCTAAAAGAGTTTGTTGCATTTTACAGCCAACCACAGTGCCAAGCAGTGCCGGACACCCTGCGCCATGAGAACCACCTGCAGCGAATGCACCAGCAGCAGCAGCTCAGAGTGCATGTGGTGCAGCAACATGAAGCAGTGCGTCGACTCCAACGCTTATGTAGCCTCCTTCCCCTTTGGCCAGTGTATGGAGTGGTACACCATGAACACTTGTCCGCGTAAGAGATCATTTTCCCGTTATTGCAATTTGATTTTATTTCATCTGCCTACATGTTATAAAAGTATTGCTCCTCAATAGTTTCACTATTCCTCCCTTTTTTGCCCAAGGACTGTTGGCAAGCAGTACAGCCTTGGCCTGAGGGTCATTTCATGACCAAACAATCAAGATAAGAAACCAACTAACCACATTAAAGTGGGATTGAGGATTCCCGGCGAAAACCAAGTTTTAAAACCTTTAGCTGTTTAATGTAGCCCTTCACAGTTTAAATTCTTAATCTCCCTTTAGTAATACTTTATTTAACAGAGTTATTTCTTAGAATGAAATATGTAATGAATTGAATTTCAAGGGGAGTAAAAGAGTTTCATTTAATTGCTCCACTTAATGACTAATTTATGTTTTAGTCGGAGCACAGCATGTTGGTGAACATGGGGAACAAAAAAATTAGTGAAATTTTCAGGTGGTTATTGAGCGTGCCATATGGGTGCAAATTGCTTGGTGTTTCCCATATTTCCTGTCTGAGTTGACAGATTTATTATTATTTTTTAATCAGTCATAAAATCATAAAGTGGCAAACAAATAATCTTAAGACAAAAGAAATGGTTCAATGCGTAGATGAGTTAGAAGAACAGAGTGTAACGTTTTAAAGACTTTGCTTATTTCCTTATTTATCACTGCTGGGGGAGAGTGACTCTAAATGTAGGGAGCAGTAAAACTGGGCACCCTTACCGTCGTCTTTGCTGCTGCAATTCATAAATGTTTCGGATTCCGATCAGCGGTGCATCACTGATCTCCTCGATCTCTGCGTCTCTCATTTAAAATCCCATTGATTGCACGTAAAATGTTTACTTTTAAGAGTTGCCAGCTCATGCCGGCTGCTCAGTCATTCTCCTACTTACTTTGAACAAATTTCAGCTGCTGCCATAGCAAAACACTCTAGAAGAAGAGCCTGACACTTGAAACCGTTGCAGCATTTCATTTAAAGCTCTGAAGCTGCAAGCAGCTAAATGTATAACTACCAGCCCTTCAGTCACAATTCATTAGTTGCAATTTAAGAAACGAGGAAAACCCGGCAGAAAATAAAGCATAAATCTGAAATCTGTGTATGTAGTACTGTAGCTGCAGCTAATATACCCAATCATTCAAGCATATGCTGCTCTGGAGATCTTCACCAAACTTACAAAAAATACTTGTTGATTATTGGTCTGTAGAGTAGAGCAACTTTGGACTGCTAAATGGGGGGGGTTAACCTCCATTTAGCCGAACAAATAAAATTGTAGCCCTCCACTGAATGGCGATGGGGATCAATAATCTGGTTTGATAGTTTGAAACCTGGTACTTTTTGGATTTCGTCTGTGCAGCAGAGAACAATTTTCTTTTATGAAACCTAGCAGGTGAATCAAGTTATTATAGCCATAGATGGATGAACTGCTCATGGGGCGAGAGATGGAAATGAAAGGCACACATTCATGGGTCTTGAATTGTCTTTATGTGGTAATTGTGCCATGTTGACTGATGATGATTACATGTTAAATGGTTATCCAGCTTATAGATAGCTTTTGAAACTCTCTTCCTTTCCAAATGAAGTGGAAATTAAGCCAGATTTTCTTTTTGAAAAGAACACACATTCAGTTTTTCTAAAGAAACTGTTTGACATTTTTTGACAACCACATTCTTGCCGGGCTATAGATGTGAAGATCAATCCAGCTGTCCACTTTGAAGCTAAAAGCAAAGAGGCTAGCTTTGATTTAAAGAGTGAAATCCGGTGAAACCAGCTGGCACGACCCTGCTAAAGGTCGAGAGCTAACATGATGTAACCTGTAATGTGTGAGGAGATTATATTATAGCCATTTCCCTCCAGTTCCAGTGTCTTAGCTTTATTTTAAGCTAACTCAAAAATGATCATGCTATCGCTTGCTTCTACTGACTATTGTTTTATTCTCATGTAAGCACAATTTTCTGAGTATGTCAGGAATTCAGAGCTCTGATTGTTGAAATACTGATGGCTTTGTTTGTACCTACCAACACAGAATCATTTTTAAAAGACATTTTAATTTTTTACAGCCAAAACATTCAGAAATATAAATACATTTTTAATCACCTGCTGCTGCGTTGTGTTTCACTTCAGCGGAGAACTGTTCTGGATACAGAACGTGCGGGCAGTGTCTGGATCAGCCGGGCTGCGGTTGGTGCACTGACCCCAGTAACACGGGAAAAGGTCAGTGCATCGAGGGCTCCTACCGCGGGCCCTTCCAGACCTCTGTCCCGGCCCCTTCCACCCTTCCTGGTCTGCCCGCCAATCCTCAGCCAGCCCTCAACGCCAGCATGTGCCCGAGTGAATCAAAGTACAACTGGTCCTTTATTCACTGCCCAGGTAGGAACGTAATCTAAGATATTAGTTATGTGACATGAGTTTTTAAATGACATTCATGCAAATTAATTTCACACACACATGTTGTGGGGATTACAAAAATGGTTGTCTGTTAAATCTGCGTTGTAACAAAAATGCCTATTGCCATTTATCAGACAATAGGCATCCAAAGAAAGTATGTGATTATGTTGCATTTTGGGAAAATGTGTTTCTGTATTGTCACTTTGGTTTATAATTGTTCCTCATTATGTGGTACTGACTGGCGGACTTGCATTTGAAGGAAATACTCACTTAGCTTAATAACTATAGTGATCTTCTCATCTAAAATGATTGAAACGCTGCTTTAAAGAGACTTCTGGCTGCTCTGATGCCTCTTATGACACACTCGAGCACTGGACAACAAACAGCATTTATTTTACATAAATTTCTCTGCTCAGAATAATCTCCTCATTCCTTCATGTTCTTTCTTTATCGTACCCCCCTCTCGTCTCGGGGTGTGATGTTTATGCAGTATGTTTGTTTACTCTTTTGCAGCTTGTCAGTGTAATGGTCACAGCCAGTGTGTCAACGAAAGCATCTGTGAGAAGTGCGAGGACCTGACAACCGGCCGACACTGCGAGAGCTGCATCTCCGGCTTCTACGGAGATCCGACCAACGGGGGCAGCTGCCAGCGTGAGTATCCGTGGGCCGTTCGGTGCGGCGCTAAATCAGCCAGTCGGTATTTCGGCACGAGGCTTCATTTAACTTGTCAGTATTTTACAGTCCATTTTTATGTCAGCCATTTTCCTGATTCCTCGCTGCACCGTAAAGCCTTCCCAGGGATATTAAAGATTTACTCCTTTACAGCTAATGCTGACAGTCAGTCAGTCGGACAACAAATCAATTGTCTATTCCTTCGACGGGTTAATTTAGCTTACCGGTATATTACAGCCACAGTGTATGTTGTGTGATTTTTACTTTTTATGCCTCCCTCTGGTATGTACATATATTTATTAAGTTCTGCGTCCGTGACAGTCAATCAATAACATGTCCTGTCTCCATTCAGCATCGCTATCTTGTCAGCGTGCCCCCTCGGGGACATTAAAGGCATGCTTTACTTCACAGCTAATTGGTTTGACTCAAGAGGCATTATGTGGACGAGTAAAAAGTACACAGTCAGTGCCTCAAAATGGAGATTATTATCAAATAATCAAGATGACACGTGTGACTAAATGATGATAAATCATAAGGTGGCTCTTTTCTTCCAAGTCCACCACTGTTATCAGACTTGTATGTATTTCACAGCTGTTTCTACCAAGGGGGTGAGTCATTTTAAGAATGATAAATGATGATGAATTAATATAAAGGATGATGCGCATTAACGTTTGCGCAGGCACCTTAAAATGGGTCTTTTAAAAATCACCAAGCCTAATAGACATTTCACACGTGTTCACATACAAGACGGTTCTCTCTTGGGAGATGGAAAGTTGTTCTTCTCCTGGAAAGTGCTGCCTCGTTGCGATGTGATGGG